GTAATCTGTCTTTTATACGATACAAAGTATTACTAAGGTGTAAAACAGCAGTAAAAAGAGTACCTTGGTGGACAAAGCGAACGGCTTACTTCAGTTGGAGTACCAGAAAAAACTATACTAGTGAAGAAAAGGTAACAGAGCTGAAGTTAAGAAATCTGCTTTGGAACTACGTCTTCGCTGGAACGATTCGTGAGGGTTTACTGAGAACATAATTGTAGAAGCACTAGCTTCCAAGTTCTCTGGGATTCAAGTGTTCAGGGACGCCCATTTATACAGAATCGCTCTTGTGGCGACATCGATTTTGCGGCATGTTATTGAGCTTGGCAATAAAGTGCGAATATTATGTTACGAAAATGTAAGATTTATTCCTGTTGTAGTCGTAGTCGCAATCCTTGATAACTTTGCCTTATGTGAGATGAATTCACCCTATTTTATCACCATAAACGAAATAGGTTAAATACATCTCATATAACTGATTTACTTGTAGTCTCGAAACTCTACTTATATTAGAAAATTTTGCTTAATTACTTTATGGTTAAGGGATGGAGAATAAGGTATGATTGTAGCTGTACGCACTAAATGTATAAAGGTACTCAGAATAGAAAGTAGGAACAAGGCTAGCTAGAAATTAAAAAAAAAGATTCTCTGATAAGTATACGACGAAACTCTCTCGTGTATATATCTTACAATGCATGGATTGAACCACTAAACTTATTTGGATGAAAGTCGACTATCAAAGTTATACTGGCTAGCTGTAACGCTCACATTTAGACGGGGAACAGCGATTAAAATATCACCACTATTAATGTTTAAAAGTGATTTGACCTCGACTTTTCAACTTGTTCGTATTGTCAGGAAGACCAAAAAATGTGATATGGAAAAGTCTTGGCCCTCCTTTAAATTCGCATCTGCCCTGCGAAACAGTTGTGATATCTTTCCTGTGTTAATATATTCACCCTTCCTATATCCTTGCATCTCCCTCCATCATCCCGATTTCTAGCTTGTCTATTTAAACTCAGTTTATATGTGCTTTTTAAGCGGATTTAATGAGACCTATTTGCACTCCTCACTGGTTCCTTCATCCTCCTAATGTGCTGGTAATCTTGTTTCGAGTCCGCAATTTTTGTCCGCGATCCTTTTCATCCTAGTTCTATCAGAATCTTCATCTTGCCTCATAGGGCCCGTCTCTTATTGCCATGGTTTAG